GGCAGAAGCTGTTTTATTGTTTACATTATTTATACATATTTATACGTTCTGAAACTACTGCACACACTGATCACGCATTCCTTGACTGGTGCCTGTGTCTTGTCCACGTGCTCTGTGTGCACTTCTCAGGATATGTGATTGGTTACAGCCCAGGTGCATCACCACCCTCTTTTATCTAGTTCTTGTGGTCTTGGCATTCTGTTTCTCAGCCTCCTCTTTCTTAATTTAGCACAATTTATGTCTTAGCAACCTTGACGAATTCCAGAGGGTCCAAAAGCAGTTTGGCTGGAGCAGACTGTGGCCTAAACCTTGCAAATGCATTGCTACAGTCCAGGACATGAGATCTGGCTCAGTTCCACACCTGTGGTCCTGGTCCATAACATTCCAGAGAAGGGCAGGTCCTGATGGTACCTCAGGGTCTGTATTTTGGCACCCCAGTGCTCCTCCAGCAAAAGTTCATCCAACTCAACAGGACTAACCTGACACCAGCCAGTCTGAGACAAAGCTGGGGTGTCCTGGCATATAGCACTTTGTCCAGTGGATGGATTTCCCTCTGGCATCCTCTCTCTGCCCCCAAAATCTATTTTTCAAAACTTAAATCCAGCTTCAGACCATTTATTAGGGCTCATTCTCTTCCCCCCCACCAGCCCCAAACAAGTAAACACCACACTCTCACTGTCAGAGCAGACTGAACCTTTAAAGCACCTCCTTTTCCAATATTGTTTTACAAATATCTCCTGACCCAGTAGGCCTTCTCCCTGTATTTTTTTATTTTTATCTCTGTATATCTGGCCCTCTGAAGGCACAATGCCTTTAAGCCTATGGGACAGAGAGAGCCAGACTGGGTGCATTTTTACCCATGAAGGGAAAGAAAAATCCATGATAGATGCTCATCCCAAGCTGTGCCTGGCCATTTTCTGGGAGAAAATCATCCAAAATTGTGCTGGGGGCCTGCTTAACAGCAGAACACCACAGACAACTCACCATTTTTACAAATATCTCCTGACCCAGTAGACCTTTTCCCAGTATTTTTTTTTTTTATTTTTAGCTCTGTATATCTGGCCCTCTGAAGGCACAATGCCTTTAAGCCTATGGGACAGAGAGAGCCAGACTGGGTGCATTTTTACCCATGAAGGGAAAGAAAAATCCATGATAGATGCTCATCCCAAGCTGTGCCTGGCCATTTTCTGGGAGAAAATCATCCAAAATTGTGCTGGGGGCCTGCTTAACAGCAGAACACCACAGACAACTCACCACAGAGCCTGGTTCTCCACCTTGGCCTCCTTTTATTTACTAGCACAGATGTAGCCAGGAAAAACACGATGCCTGCTGGTGTTCTCTGCTTGTCGTGTTCCTGCCCACAACGTGTTTGTGTGTCATGAGTTGTGACTAAGTGCTGACCTGCCTGCCTGTGTTGCAGGAACGAGGGCTGCATCCCATATGGCAAACTGAAGGAGAGCTGGCCTGTGGAGAAGTCTTGGCATCGTGTTTGGTTTGGGGAGTTATAAGGTCAGTGAGTACATTTCCCGCTAGAATTTGTGAGAAAGCAGGAAATTCAAAGGGGTAAATAATAATAATTAAAAAAATATTAATAAAACAGTTGTTCTTCTCTCAATTTTCTTTCCTTGAATGTCTTAGCTGAAGGCAAAAGACCAAATTGATTCCTGCTTTCCTCCAAAATGCTTGCTGCATTGTGGGAACACATAGCACATGGCAGAGCAGTCCAGGGCTCTGCTGTGCATATAAAAAGAGAGTTTTCCTAAAACAATTACAGCAAAAAAGGTCAAGGGAGAGCCACTGCTGGGATTCATCCCACCTGGCTTTGGAAAGGCACAGTGCAATCCTCTGCAGCTGGGTGAGCTCCTCCCTGGAGCCAGCCAGAGGAAACAGCTTTTCCCTCTGTCAGTCACTGATCTGTTTGAGCCAGCAGGGCTGTAATGAGATTAATTGGATCCTGGAAGGTCTCAGTTTTCACTGGGGCTACACAGAGAGACAGGACAAGCCCCACAGGAGAAAACACCCACTGCCACTCAGAAAACTCCTCATCAGAAGGGGTGATTTTGAGCAGAGATCCTGCTCTGATCTCCCTGATCTAGTGGGAAGTGTCCCTGCCCGTGGCAGGGGGTTGGAACTGGATCATCTTTAAGTTTCCTTCCAACCCAAATCATTCTGTTGTTTTATGAATAAAGCCCCATTGATCCCAGGATCATTTTCTTGCCCCTCAATAAGCTGGAACACCTTGACAGTGAAGCTGGCAGGTCTCTGCAGGGCAAAGGATTCAGAACTGTGGTCCCTATTCCTGTCACCACCTTGGTGAGGTGCACCTGGGGCTGAACACAGGGAAGGGATCCCTTGGACTAGTGATATCCAGAGAGAGGTGGTGCTGGAGTCATTCTCTGCTGAACCAGAAATCCCCCAGGATGGGGAATGGTGAGGGGAACATCTTAATGCAATCCAGGCAGCTGAACCTGGGAAGAGTCAGAAAGCAGGAAACAGGAAATAATAAAGGCAAATTGAATCCTCCCCAGGGTGCTGGAAATGGTCCCTCTCAGCTGACATCTGGGATTGCTTTGGGAAGCTGAGCTGCAGAGGAGTTCCCAGCTTTTACCTGGGAGATAAAGGCCATCTCTGAGCTTTGCAGGGCCTTTTCTCCTGCCAGGTTTCTGTGGGGCACTTGGGGGACATTATTTACTCCAGGGATGTCACAGACCTGAAGCAAATGGTCACAATTTCCTCAGTGGAGGAGCTGGAAGAAGGCAAGGACTGAGGTGCAGGAAATGGCCATGATTTTTCATGGACCATGAACGCAGGAAAGCTTTGAAAATGCCTCTCTTCTGTAGCTTGTGGGAGGGAGAGTCCAGCATGGACAGAGACACTTTAGGGAAAGGTTGTGGCACTTGGGGACATGGGTTAGTGGTGGCTTGGCAGTGCTGGGTTAACAATTGAATTTGGTGATCTTAGAGTGCTGTTCCAACTTTAATGATGGGAAGGTGGCTCCTACAGGCTTTTTAAACACCTGCTTGGCCTAGAGTATCCAGTTTAGTTCATTTGGGAGCTGGACAGAGGCGTTCCAGAGGCTGGAACTGGGAGAAGGGGCTGTTGCCTCCAGTCTATGTCACACACATGTGACAAGGTCCCAGGGAGCATGAGAGTGATGCCCTGTCCTGCTGCAGACAGATCTGTGTCAGAGTCTTTCCTCCTGCCTCCTAATCTTTCATTAAATCCACAGGGAAATTCTCTGCTCAGCAACAGCAAGCCCACACATGTAATCCCCCTAAAAAACAAACATTTTCCAGCTGACAACAGGGAGTTCCCACAAGCGTGGAGTCTGTTTGCTTGGCTGTGCTCAGTAATTGCCGCTCCATTTAATATTTGGAAGGGTGTTTTTGAGGGAATAGTTGGTGTTTTGTTGTTTTCCAGTCTTGGCATGGATGACAAGAGGAAACTGGTCCAGGATGTATCAACAGGGTCTCAATACTGGTGCCAACCATGCCCTGCCCTATGGATTCTCCCAAATCTGCAACACACAGCTGTGACCAGCCACAGAAATGTGACTGGGTGGGTTGGGATTGGTGCTGGGTTGCAGAGAGCTTTGCTTCTGAGATTCCAGGCAATCCATTTCACCTCTGTGTGCCTCAGGCTCCTCTCCTCCTTTTCCTCTCTGGTCTTACTGACATGGAAGCTGTTATTTCTACAGCACATTCTTTCTCTTGTTGTGCAGTTTCTGGTGGAGACACAGCCTAAAACTACTCTGGTGGAAGTGTAAATACAGCCACTTTGTCTGAAAGGAAGGTTTTAATGAGATATTTTAGTTTAGGTTTAAGTAATGCCATGAAAAACCAAACACTTCATAACTCTTTATTTAGAAGTGGTTTTGGGTTTTACCCTAAACCCACTGATCATTCAGAGGAGCCCAGACCTGAAGCTCTTCCTTGCACACAGAAGTTTTTAGCGTCAATTCCTACAGCTCACCCTGCTGGCCTGAGGGGTCTGGTGGGGGATGTTCGTGTGGGTGACACTGCTGGGACTGGCTGAGCTGGGACTGACCCCAGGAGAACTCTGCATTGACCTGAGGATGGGGCTCCGTTTTTAGTTTGTTAGTGAAGTGCTGCAGAGCTCAGGGTTTGTGAGACTGTAACAGAGATAAGAACTAACATCTGAGTCCCAACATGAAATACCATCTCACACATTTAATCCTGACCTTGGCAGAGAAAAGAAGCAAAAGAATTGACATGATTTGAGCCCCAATCCTTTACCTCTGTGTCCCAAGGAGCAGCTGGACAGAGATGTCTCATTTCCATGGCTGGATGTGGTCAGTTACAGGTGGACATGTGCTGCTTTTCTGTAGGTACCCAGACATTGCTGAGCAGAACCAGCCTGAAGCTGTCAGAGCTTCATTCAGCTCCTTTCCCTCTCTGAAATCCACTCTCTTTCTTCCTTTTCATGGTCTCCATGGAGCTGAGACTGTGGAAAGCTGTTTGCTTTCCGCAAACCTCATATGTGGCTCCCTTAGTAGCATCCCTGAATTAGTGAGCTTGTCAATATTTTTTATTTATTTTTATTTTTTAATAGAGCTGATGACACCTCAGAAACAAATGGAAAGGAATAATCTGTCTGATCCCACCTCTGCAAGGAAAAAAATTCAAATGATCCAATAAATGTCTTTGTGTGACATGGGAAGGAAAAGAGAGATGGCAACAAAGGGAGGAAGGGAGGAAGGGAGGAAGGAAGGAAGGAAGGAAGGAAGTTGGTTCCCAAATGTGTGGATATGGGGACATGGTTTAGTGGTGGATGTGGCAGTGCTGGGTTAACACCTGGACTCAGTGATCTTTAAGGTCTTTTTCCAGCTTTTCCTTGATTTCAGTTCCCTCCCTCTGGCTCCATTTGACACAGAAAGCAGCAAGCACAGCCTGGGGCATTTTTATTTCTTTATTTTTTTTTAATAAACTTTATTCTATATTACAAATAGTTGTTTGTTTTTTTTTTTCTTTTTTTTTGTTCTGGACTGCAAAATAGGAATGCCTTATATTTACATACACAGGTATACAATTAATTATAACAAAGGTACAGAAGCTTTGCCTTTACCAAGTAACAACGGGATTCCAATTTAAATAGTATAGATTTTATGTCTTTCTTTTTTTTTAACTAGGATCAGTTCAAAAGAAAATCAAACTAACAACAACAACAACCTAAGAAAAAGAATCCCAACCTCCTTTCTAATGCTGTCTTGACATCTCTTTGAGGCTGTTAGTAACACTGTGGTAAAAGGAAATGTCTTTCCATTGATTTTAAGTTGGAAGCTTTAGCAAAACAGAGAATGAGACTTCTGGGCTCACATGTATGTCCAAGACACAGGGTCAGACACAAGGAAGGGCCTCTCTTGTGACCATAAATAATCCAGTTGCCTCTCAATTCCTTGGGGAAAACACTGGGAGGATTTAGCTAGCACCTAATCTCTCTGCTTCCTTACCCCAGCCTGGGCTGGAAAGTGGAATTTCTCCAGGGAATGGAGAAAGAGCAGCATAGAAAGTTGAAATAACACCAAGTTTCTCTTAAGATACTTCAGAAAGGACTTCAAGCTTGGACATGTGCCTTCATTTCTCCAACTGGCTCTTGTGCCTCAGTCTGTCTGAAAGTGAACAGCAGCTTCTCCACTGGGGAATGCCAGACCACACCAGTAAAAGAAGGGAGTGCTGAAAAGAGCCTGAATGTCCTGGTTTTCCCTCTGTTTTCCACACCCAAGTTTGCTTTACTGAGCTTCCCTGCACACTGCTCTCTGCTGCGAGCGTCTTTGAGGTGATCTGTTTCCAAGCAGAAAGAATTTCTTGAGGTAAACTCTCCATTTTTAGAACAGAAGATTAAAAAAAAAAACAAAACCAACAACAGAACAAAAAACCAAACCAAACCAATCAAACAATGAACAAACAACAACGACAACAGAAATCAAACATGTGACAGGTTGATTAGACTAAGCAGCTTTGCAACTTCAGTGGGGTTTTGGTGGGTTTATTTTTCCAAGTGTAAATTCTGTTTGGTTTTTTTTTTTAACTTTCTTTTCTTTGACATCTTTCTACAAATTCTTTTTTTTTTTCTTTTTTTTTTTTTTTTTTTCCTGTAATCCTGTGTCCCTTTGGGTGCTTCTCCAACTGTAGAGAACTGAGCCATCCCAAATAAAACAGGGTCGACAAGCTCTATTTTCAAAGCATTCTCCACAAAGTAGTTATTCCCAGTAAGACAACAAGATTTTTTTTGGAGAGAGGGGCATTGCACAGTCACAGAGGTGAGGGAAAACTGCAGGACTCTATGGACCAAACACTGCCCTGAAATGGGAGCTGCAGCAGGCACAAAGCAGGAAAATTCAGGCTGGGAATGGGCAGGAGGTTGAGGTTCACACCATGATGTTGAAGTTCACATGTTTCACCAATTTCCTGCTCCACAGCACACCAAGTTTGGATGGCAAGAGTTAGGACATCCCAAAACATCCACCTGCCCTGAAGGACAACTCTCACTACTTATATTTTTATTTCTCCTCTTTTGGAAGGGTTCCCAAATAGCAGTGTCTCTTCCCAAAGGACTTCATTAAAGCCTTGGGGAAGGACAGATCTACATTTCATGTTTTGACTTACTTCTGAACAATTGTCCTTCTGATATTGGCTGTGATGTGCTTGGGTTTTTGCCTCACAGGCATCCCAGGCTCCAGGAAATTCAGAGGGGACTCAAAAGGAAGGCTGACCACTGACTGGACTCTTCAAATTTGATCTATTGGTTTTCAACAACATTATTAAAAATAATGACAATTATCTGATTTGCTTGGTTTCATTCCCTTCATGGCAAACATTTTCTTGTGGGTGAATACACAAGATTGGGAAACACTTTTCAATCTAAGCAATTACCAAACGAAATTGTGCTGGTAAATCTTCTTCATGACCAAATAAATTTTATGGTCTTCAGTGTCAAAGATGCAAGATAAGACAAGTGCAGTGATACCACTAAAAGGATGAAAATTGGCATAGCCCTCTTATCTAATGGAGCAAGGCTGATGTGTGCTGGGTTGGACCAAACCTTTGGATATGTTCAGGACAGGATGAAGAGTGGGAAGAGAAGGACTGGGGAATGATTTAACATTCAGACTCTGTGATCTTAGAGGTCTTTTCCTACCCAAATGATTCTATGATTCTATGCTAGGAGAGGAAGGTGGCTGAATTTCTCCTCGTTCGTTCTCCTGCGCTGTCTGTTGGAGGGCAAACAATCTCCAACACCTCATTCCAGACACAAACAAATTTCCCCACACTGGTGTCCATTGGAAAGCTCAATCTGCAGCAGCACATGATGGGATGGATCAGGTCTCAGATCAGTGTCACTGACAGCTGAGTCCCACTCACAGCGAGGACATGAGGTGTTTGCTGGAGCTACTCACCCTTTGTTCCTCTAACCCAGCAGCAAGTCCCCAAAGCAAACCAGGCAGTGAAGAAATAATCTTGACTCTCTCCTTAGAACCTCAGAGAGTATTCATGAGTTCCCTTTCCCCTGTTTCTGATGGTGCTGCAGGTGCCAGCATTAATTATTTTATTGCAATGTTTGAGAAATGCCCGTAAAGATCAGCCTATCATCTGGAATATTCTGGATTTTAGGAGCCTGTCCATGATCTTCCAGGAACTTTGGCTCCAGTTCTCTCCATGGGGCTTGAAAAATAGTGTGGGACACTACTTATTTATCCGGCATTTTTGGTCAAGTGTTGAAAGGGAGGTGAGGGGAAAAGAAATCAAAGGAAAAGAAAACATCCGTGTTGTAGTAGGGCTCATTCTTCTGCTTACGTCTTTGTTTTTAGTTGTATTTTACATGCACTTAAAAAATAGTTAGCTCAACAGGTGAGGCTGGGAAGAAAGATGCCAAGACTTCTCATAGACTGGGGATTCTGGGACACTGGTTGGAAATGGGAAGGGCACTGAAGGGGACAGGGGAGGAAGCCCACGCATTTACATCACAATTCTGGCACATTTTCCAAGCAAAAAAAGCAAATCCAGCTCAAACACCAAAATAAAGCGAAACAGAAACACAAAAAAAAAAATAAAGAGGAGATGAAAGAGAAGCAAAACGCAGATTTTCTTTCAAATCCTGGGCATGGGGGAAAGAAGAGGGTGGAGAGAAAGCAGAAATGCCTAAATGGGAAGTTTGGAAAGGGTTAAGACACCAATCTCCTGGTGCTTCCCATTTCCCCTAAGTGTTTCATTCTCAGTGTCTCTGAGGTGTTCAAGTTTTTCTCGAAAAATATATATATATAATATACAGATGAAAAACTCCGTACCAGCAAGAAGAAATAAAATAACAACCATGGAAAACAACCATAACAAACCAAAAACACAGCCCTGAAAACATCAAAAAGAAACAGGGTGAGTCTCAGATTTCCCCTGTGGTGTTCCTCTGACTTCAGTAACAGTACAGGATCACACCAGTTCATTTTTTACTTTTTTTTTTTTTTTTTTTTCTGTTAAACAGCTTCTTCTTCCTCTCATGTGCGCATGTCCAGGCAGGATCGCCCATCACTCATAACCACTTCCCTCCAAGCCAGCTCTTTGTCCTTAGACTCCTACCATCCAGCTGTGAGTACAAGGCATGACAATAGGGTCCATATTTTTCTTTTGTGGCACTTTGTTTGTCAAAACCTTTGGTTTCTTCCTTTTTTTTTTTTTAATTTTTCCCTTTTTTTTTTCTTTTTTTTTTTTTTTTTTAATTTACGTACTTATAAAAAATACTGCGTTTGTGTTGTTTGTTGTCATTTTCTTACCACTGGCTCTGGTGGGACTCCCCACTTTCACAGCCATAATCAATGGATCTGGAACATGCGCCGACGTTACTAAAATGGATCAACAAAACCATGGCAGAACCAACCAAACCCAAACCATCCCCAATGCGCAGGCCTCTTAAAACTGCTGAGATGTCCATAAGGTGCATGATGAGTCCATCAGCTCAGCAATCCAACAGAAAGCAAGCAGAACCAAAAAAAAGAGGAAGGAACGCACACGCGCACACAGATACACACGCACACGCACAAAATAATTGGAATTGTAATCAAGAGAGAAATGTCTGGGGGTTTAAAACCAAGACGTGTCCTTAAGTTTGCTGTTTCAATGTGAATCTGGTGATTTTCTCCCCACAGACACGTCCAGTTTTGGACTGCTGTTCTTTGAGTGGTTTTGGACTCGCCTACGTGTGTATCTGCTTGGCTGTAGGAAACCCTCCTGCTGCCTGACTCCTGCTTGCACCACATCATCCCTCACACATTCTCGGGATCTGTCACTCCCAAGAGGTTCTGGTTTGACAGCAAGAGACAGGAATGAACCCAAACAAACTCTGTCATCAATTTACACACCCTGCCTGCACCCCTTGCTCCCCCCAGGTGCAAAGCAGATCCAGGCTGTTGCTCCAAGGATGGGGTGAGGTGGGCGTGGGCTGATTCTCCAGCCGCTCCTCCATCTGCCAGGGAGCTCTGCTCGTGTCTGGGGAGATGAATGCTCACCCAGCTCTTGCTTCCCTGGTGTACAAGGAAGGTTCTCCACACCCCGAGGGTCTCTAATCATGGTGATATCCGGGCTGGCAGCTGTGTGAATGGAACAGCTGAAGGCGAAAGAGATGCAGGAGCTCACTCCCCTTTGGTTGGCCATGAAACAAGTTGAGATGTTCTGGAGAAGCTGAGCAGAGGATGGGACAAGGACAGGGTGATCCCCCACAATCGTCCCATGGTGACAGCGATCCCTGAAGGGATAAGAAGTGCAAAGAGAGATAAAATCCTTCCTAGGCAGCAACTGTGCCTTCAGCAAGGCCTGTTGGTTCCAGAAATGGAGGAAAGGCCAGGAGTTGGCACCAAAAGGCAGATGGGCTCACAGCAGTTCAGAGACCTCCAGAAGACAGGCAGTTCGGCTGGGGGGATCTAGGGAGAAGAATTTTTTGCAGTGTTTCATTCGGATTTCCTCCAAAATTTCCTTCCAAAATGTGTGGTGACATTTCCTCTTAGGAGTGGCTTGGAAGGAAGGCTTTACCATCAGCCCCGTGCACCACCTCCCTTCTCAGCAAGCATTTCAGTAACCCTCTGATACTCCACTGTGGGAAAACAACAGCTGTGTTCCAGTTGAGGAAACAAAATGGAAAGAACATCTTTTAAAAAAAAAAAAATAGTCCTTCTGGATCTTCTTTAGAGGCTGAGCTCCTTGCCTGGAACAAACCGAGGCTGTGGCTCCTGCCTTCCAAGCCAAGGTGGGAACGAGGGGGGCGATGCTGTGCTCTCCATGGCCAGGAGGAGCAGGACCACCACCACAGACAGGATGCCACCCAGCAGAGAGAGCGTTTCGCTGCAGTGCTACGACCAACAGGACACGACGGGAAAGACGGAGGGGGACACGCGGCTCTTGGAAAAATAAGAAGAACCATATGAAACACATGGGCAGGGGAGCGTCGGTCTCCTCGTCCCCTCTTGACCCTTTCCCTACCCCAGGAGAGCAGCTGTTTGCCCAGGCAGGATGAGCCACAGTGGCCCTGCTCTGGACGGAGCTGTGGCATTTTCCAGGGAGCCTCCTCTCCCAGTGGGTCGCTATCAAGAGACAGAATTGCAATGGCTCTGCAGCAGAGGAGCTGGATTGGCTCTGCCCTCCAGGAGCCCTGCAGGCAGGCTGCCTTCCCCTTGGGGACACTTGAGTAATACTGAGTTCATTTCCATGTCCTCTCTAGAGGCTGTAGCCCTCAGAGGGCAGTTAAAGCAGCATGACAGAAGTTACCTCCTGGTTTCACCTCTGCAGAGTGAGGATGTGATGCTGGGGGAGGGTTGGTGGGGTTTTCGTGTGTGTTCAATAGTTTCTGTCTAGGGCAAAAGGCAGACGGGAAGCTGTGAAAAGGAGAGCTCCACCCAAATGTCTTCATGGCCCCAGAGCCAAGATTCCTCTGCAGTCTTTTCTTTTAACCCCTGGGGCTCTGTCGCTTTGTCCATAGATTTGGGAAGAGAAGGAAAAGAGAGAAAGAGAGAGAGGGGAGAGAGAGAGAGGAGCGCTGTTCGGGTGACTCTGCTTACAGCCCATCAAAACTTGCACTTGGTAAAGATGATGATCTTGAGTGAGGCACGACTTGGTTTATCCCTCCCAGGGTGTCCCTGGCAGGACAGTTCTCAGCTGTCTATGCTCATGAGGGTTATAACTTGTTCAAGTTTGTAGGCAAGTTTCTGTTTCCCAGCCTGGTCGTCTTGATCGAGGGCTCCGAGAATCTAGAAAAGGAGAGAGGAAGAAGTGATAGGGATTTCAGATTCTTTCCCCAAAATGACCGTGTCCAGCATCTTGAAGCAGCAGAGGAGGGTTAGCTTTCTCTAAGACAGGTCCCAGGCTTAGCTTAGATCATGCAAGGCAAGTCAGTCAGCCAGGAGGGAGCTAGGCAGGGAGTTTGTGTTTGATTTGATGTGCAGACCTCTGGATTGCAACCAATCAAATGGGTTCTTATCTTGGAGATTCATTTATGAGCTTTATCCATCACCTGGCCATGCCATTTGAGATGCCCTAAAGGGTTTTCACATGGCCTTCAATACACAGAACCATGCTGGACACCTTGAAGTCTGTGTTTGGACCATTTTGGGGTGTTTTAGGGTGTCTGGAATGATGTTGGGCACAGTCCTTAAGCAACTTTTGCCCATTGTGGATGTAAAGCTCATGTAGGGCTCCTCTGCAGTGAGTTAACATCTGACCATCAACTACTTCAAACCATCTGAGCCTGACTGAACACAAGAGAAAAAAACAGGGATCCAGAATCCCAGACCTTCCCTTTCCAAACCCCAAGCCTTGTCCCTCATTCCTTAAACCCTCCACCCTCCCAGCCAGGATGCAAACAGGTATCAGTGATCCACCAGGGGATGGGTGGGCTGTCCCCTGGCCCCCCAGAGGTGCCCCCAGGCTCTCACCTCCTCGCTGTACTTGCCCACGTAGGAGTAGATCTCGGAGAGCGCGCTCATGGTGTTGAACTCGTTCATGTGCATGCGGGACTGCTCTGCCAGGTAAGCATTCATGTCCTGGTCACTGATTGCTGGCATCTTGGCGATGTCTGAGTAGTACCTGAGGGGCACAGACACAGGGGTTTCTTGAGGGGAAGAGCAGGAGCTCAAGAAGTGAAATCCACAAACAAAAAGGAGAAGAAAAATCCCGCAATTATTGTTGCACAATTATTGTTCCGCAATTATTGTTTCTGGTTCCTCAGTGAAATACCTGCTCATGCTCTTCTTTTACAGCAAGAAAGGTGACTTAGCCGAAGTGGAAATGACTGAGCACTCATCCTGAGCACCACATATGGCACTGGACATAGCACTTGGTGCTATAGTCTAGTTGAGGTCTTAGGGCATAGGTTGGACTCGATGATCTTAGAGGTCTCTTCCAACCTCATTATTCTGTGATTCTGTGATATGTCTTGTATTCACCTCAATCTGAGAATGAAGCCCCAAAGAGTATCCTGTAAACTTTCCCTGTGCCATCAATAGGAGCTGGATTGAAGCTGGATCACTTTGTCAGATATTCAAGGGTTTTTAGCCCTGCCTCTCTTCCCAGAGAGACCTTGCTGCCCACTGACAGCTCACAGCTTCACTCCCACACACAGAAAAACCCCAAATATTTGTATTTTTCCTTGCACCATTCTCACCACTACATCTGCCCCCATTGCTAACATCACCCACCTTCCACACTCAATCCAGTCTATCCCAGCAACTCCCTTGCTCAGCATCTCCTTTTTTCCCCATATTTTAAGCTGGCCTGATATTTGTGGCAAATGCCTTCAACTCCAGTCTGACTGGGAAAAAATCTGTTTTTTCTAGGAGTCGACAACATTCCCTAGGAGCTCAGGAGGACTGGGGGTTTATCCATAGGATCTGGATCCCCCAGAACCATTGCCCAGCAGGCTTTATCTGCAGAGTGATGTCTCTTTAAGGAAGTTGCTATTTTTGATGTCCTTCCTCCCCTGGGTAAGGCAGGTCTTGGAGGACAAGGTTTGCAGAAGGTAATCAGTCACTGTCACTCGCAGCTGTGCTCTGCTGTCAACTGGTTAATTAGACACCATCATTTACATTTTTAATTTCTGCAATTTGACATTTTGTGCACAAGGAAAAAAAAAGAAGAAGAAGGAGAAAAAAAAAAAAAAAGCCCATAGCTGCAGCAATCCACAATTTTATAATTAGGAGGCAGAGGGGACGGGGAGCCAAAAGAGCTGACAGGTGTCCTGTAAACAGCGTGGAGACACCTGCTGAGATGGAGGCTGTTTGCCACTGCAGAGAAATTGGACATGGAAATGCTGTGTGGTGAGGATCCTTGAGGTGGGTGAGTGGGAAAATACTCTGTGACAGAGCAGGATGAGCAGCTGCTGTGGAAGACAGAGCAGTGCAAGAGCATGGGGGGAACCCTTCCACACCAGGAGGCTCCAGTTGTGCTCAGTCTGGTTTTATGCCCTTCAATCCCACCCTGATTTACCCCAATGAGTCAGTCTCTGTTGATACCCTGGTTTTGGTGATGCGATGCTGATTTAATCCTTGGCAGAGGGAGGCATAGGAGGCAGAGGTCCTTCTTGCTTGACATTTTCCAAAGCTAAACTCTGTTTCACCATAAAAACTCGTGCAAACCTCATTAATTTTACTGCAACTTCCAGCAGGCACAAAAACATCTCTCTCCCTGGAGTCCTGGCATTTTGTCTTCTCGGCTTTGGACCAGCCAGAAATCTTAGTCTAACTCAGTCCCATGGTCTAAATATTTCTCATTGCCAGTGCTCCAGTGAAAAGTGGTGTGGGTTTGATTCTCTTTACACTCTGCCTGACCCTCTGTCCCCAGGTGGAGCTGGACTGTTGTCTGTGAGTGAAGTGAGCATCTGGAAATCCCAGCAGGACCCGTCCTGCAGAACTGTCCCCAGGAGAAGATGCTGAGGAGGAGGAATAAATATTTCTTAGACCTTTGCCACTCGCAGAAAAACTTAAACAGGTCTTGGCTTCACCTTCTGGAGAAGATTGTGCTGCACACAGGAATTGGTGGCATCCACAAGATGGCTGAGAAAACAAGGAATCTTAGGGTCAAAGAGCAAGGAATCTTAAGATCAAAAATCAAGGTGTGCCTTGGCACTGGAAAAAAAAATTCACCAGCACAATTCACAGACTTGTGGGGAAAACAGACTGCAAAGCAGTGAAATACATTGATTTATGGCCCCTGAAAAGAGAGCAGCTCCTCATGAATGTTGGACAGGCACCCTCCTGATGGGTGAAATGAGAAGAGAAGGGGACTCACCACAGCAAAAATAAATGGGGTCGGTGGAGGAAATCAGAGGTGCCAGTCTGGCTCTGACAAGAAGTTAAAATTCTCCTTTTCCTCTCTGGCTGAGCTGTCACCAAGTGGTGGCAGGATAGTGGGTGTAGGGACAGGGTGCTCCCAAAAACTGGAGCACAGACACAGTTATCAACTCCTCCTGCAAGTTTGTCCTGTTTCCTTTCCACCTGGTGGCAACAGACTCTCGAGTCTGTGACTCACAAGGGTTTGAAAGCTTCCCATCCCCTTCCAGCCCTGCAGAGATCACTCCCCAGCAGCACAACGCTCCCGTGACTCATCCAAACAAGGAAGAGCAGCAGGAAATGTTCCCTGGAGCCAAGGATGGGATGCACAGATCTGAGTTTCAGGAATCACAGTTTCAGGGCTCTGGCCATGACAGACTGCCAGGATGTGATCTCAGTGTTCTGGGGTCACAGGCCATCACCCACCAAAGTGTCCTGGTCTCCTCCAGACTCAATTCCCTGGCATCACACACCTAAACATCATTTCCCATTCAACCAAGGTGTTTTGTGGCAAAAATAAAAGAAAAAGAAGTGGAAACAACCACGTACCAATGGCATAATCTAGATGAGTGAGAAGACATAATATCCTTCCATCCAAATTCTGCCATGGCCCAGTGACTTATTTATGCAGAAGAGTTTCTAATGAAGCCATCACTGTGCTCTCTAAAGAAATGATGAATGTGTGTATTAAAGCATCCTAGCAGGGAGATGACAACATCCCTGCTGAGTCTTTATTTACCTTCAGTTCCAGCTCAGATCCTCAGAGGTACTTAGAGCCTCTCTGCCATTTGCATACCCCTAATGCAAAAACCACTGAGAAGCTGTCACCAAGCCCCAGAGGCCCTTACATTCCCACTGCTGGAATTTGCAGGGCTGCCTCTGCTGCTTCCATCACGCCTGCAGCTGACATCTCCCACAGCAGAGCTGGGCTGGGAGGCAGTGCCAGGGGCAGCGAGGTGCCCTGTCACCTGTGGAGGGCCACCAGGTCTCACCTGAGGTAGGGACAGGTCTTTGACCCACTTCCACAGCCATCAGGAGGTTGGGAACACAACATTCAGCTGTATTCTCTCTGAATGAGACAGAAAGGTAGCAAAGCAAAGCAGTAAATGCAGTTTAATCTGCCCTCAAAGGGTCAGCAGTGAGAATCCTGAGCAGATTTGCTGCTACTGCTGTGGTCCAGTTTTGCTCATCTCCAGTGGATCCTTCCCCAGCTGTTTCCAGAAGATCCTCAGATGGAGATCAAAAGATCCAGCCTTATGTGTCTGAGCTTCCCTGGATTCACAGGAGCAGCCTCCATTCTTACCTCAAGGTTCTCCATCCTCTGATGTGACAACAGCAAATTTGTTCATTAGACGTCATAAGCAATTAAAATTATGAGGAATTGGGGTAAGCCCATCACTGCAGCACTCCAGCTCAGCTGGAGGATATGAGGATAACCAGGATGTGTCCTCACAGATATCACAGGAATAACAACTCACCCCAGCCTGCCTTGAATGGAGAGAGAGCCCAGGAGACCCTCCATTGCCATGGTGGATGGAGAAGGATTTGGGATGTACCAGGATACAGCTGGTACTCTTCTACTGAAAAAATAATTATTCTTGTTCCTTCCAACCTCATCTTTGCATTTTTTTGTTTTGTTTTGTTTTGTTTTCCCAAGGAAAGCGACACAACAGTGACCTGGGCATCCATCACAGTGACCTGGGAATACATTTTGTCCTCTGTTTATCCAGGGATAAATGTTCTTTCCCTCGGTACCGACGGGAAAAGGCTCCTTAGTGGAGCTGTTTCACAAGAATGACTGTGCCTGCTGCCGCTCAGTAACTCATTAACTCATCAAAAGAGAAGAGAAAAGCCACGTTGCCAGTGCTTCCTCCCCAGCCCGAAATTTCCCAGCACAGCCCATGGTTTAGGCAGCTTAGCATGGAGCTAATTGCCTTCCAAAAGATCTTTTTGTCATGGCTGTTGTTTGTCACTGGGATGGGACTGCACTCATTAATAATCATTTTAGCATATGAAAAGCTTGTAACGAATCCATGTGCTGCAGACGGCAGACGCAATTACAGCAATAACATAATTAGGGTTATGCAATAGCCGGCTGTATCCAGACCACTGAAGGATGGAAAGGTGTGTGAAAGGGATATGGGGGACTCTTCCAGCGGGGAAGGGCTGGTGGAAAGCTTAGGAACAACCAGCTCTTTTTTGGGATGCACTGGAGCAGTGCAAGGACATGCTGTCAGCTCTTGCACTGACACAGAACGGCACTTTGAGTTTCCTGGGGAGCATCTCAGCTGCTGGTGAGGCACTGGAATAGATTGCCCAGGGAAATCCGGGCATGCCCCATCCCTGGAAGTGTTCAAGGCCAGGTTGGATAGGGCTTGGGAGCACCCTGGGATAGTGGAAGGTGTCCCTGCCCATGGCAGGGAGTGGAATGAGATGAGCTTCAAGGTCCCTTCCAACCCAAGCTGTTGAAGGGAACAGTTCAGTGTGTGCAAGCCCTAGGAAGGGCAGTGCTTTTATTTTGCCTGTTCATGGCTTTTCCTGCTGCTTCTCCCCCCGGAATAAACAGTGGAGGGTTGAAGGACAGTTCTGCCTCAGTGGCTGAAGAGTGAATTGGTGCCCAGGTAGTTCCTCTGGGAGACGAGATCAGCCAGCACCACCTCGGAGCAGAGGATGTGTGGGGCTGCACCCTGCCCATATGGACACATTTTCATCTTGCCAGCTGAAAGCTGCACTGTGTAATAACAGCTTTTTACCGTGATG